AAGCTTGAGTTAAGGAAAAAAAACAAAACAAAAAACCCAAACTGAGCTTTAAATTTTACTTTCTGGATAAGAATATGTAGCTGCAGCTCCCATTGAACATTTGTTTGGATTTTTTTCAACTTATGCCCCTCAAGGATCCCTGCTACATGCATCTTCCCTCTCTCCCTCTCAAAACCACACAATTTAGTTGATTCCTATATTCAGGGATAATTTACCTCAAGTAGGACAGAAGCAAGCAATGATTTGCAAAATCTTCCTCTTCAGACACAGCACATCACTCTGGCTATATCAAACCAAATTAATCCCAGCTGCATCCATCAGACTAACAAACTCTGATCTCCTGGTTATGGGGTTGGCTTCCATAAATCATGAGCCAGGACATGGTCATAATCACCATGTATCTTCACTCCACACTCCTGCACATGGGAAGGAAAAGCCAGGTAAAACTCTGGTTGTTCAACAACTCCTGTAAAAGAGGTGAACTCCTAGCAGGCTACAAAGCATCCCTGATGAGCATGATCTGCATAACCACTGCATGTTTCATGGACTTGAGCATTCATGCTCTCCTGGCAGCACAAAATGGTCTCTGAATATCATCCTCCCTTCAAATAGTGCACACAGCCTCCTTCCTGCCCCACACTCTCTTGGTCCTGAGTTTCAAATTTAACATTTCCCATTACACAACTGTTTTTGGAAACTCAGTGCAAGTTCAGTGCTACCACATGGCCACCACCTCCCCAGGAACCTGTCAGGGACACGTCACAGCAGCATGAAAAGTTATATTCCTGTTTATGAAGTTGGCCTTATTCAGTATAGTCCAATTATTGAAATTATGTAACTGAAGGAAGATAGGCAGGGATAAGTATGCAGATAAACTAATAATGAAAATGTATCTGCAGGATTGTATGGGGGAAGGGGGTGGCAGGGAACAGCCCATGAAGACTGGAGTGTCCAAACTCAAAGGACACACAATCTGCCCCTGGCTGCTGGAGGCTGGAGCTGCCAGGTACACTCAGCATATGGAGGAAACAATTGAGCAATTAGAATGTGCAAGATGGAGACCACCTGGAGGAAGAATTCACATAGGATGCAGCAATGTCCCAGCCTAGACAGGGGCTGGTGGACAGCTGGATCACACCAGGGGAATCAAAAGACAGGTTGTCATGCCATGTGCTGTCCCTCACTGACCACCTGATGGCACAAGGAACCTGCACAACAAACCCTGAGTGACTGGGCAATAAGTGGAAAATCCTGTCCATTCCCAGTGAGAAATGTGTCTAAAGTAAAACCTGAAAGAGCCAGCTGTCATCAGCTGGGAAGCAGCTGGGCCCTGGGAAGCAGCAAGCTCAGGATGCCAGCACCTGCAGATGGATGTGCTGATCTCTGGGCATAAAAGAACCAACAAAGAACGGAAAAGAAAAACCCAGTCTCTTGGTGTCCTCATCCTAAGATCCACTCAACTGATCCAAACTTAAAGTTATGACAATTTGTTTCTTAAACAGAACTTGAAATCTCATGTTGCTTTTTTCTAACCATTGCCCTACACAAGGCCAGTAAACCAGATCAAGGCTTTATCCAGTAACTCCTCTGAGGTTTCCTGCCACACAGTCTATTCATTCACCAGCTGGTTACACAATTCAGGCTGCTCAAAATAAACACTTCCACTCCTGATGTCACACCACAGCATGCACCCTCTCACAACAAATATGCAGGGAGCACAATTAAATAAATAGTACTAAAATCCTGCTCTATGCCTGAGAAAGTACTCTTCCAAATTACACAAAAGATTGGAAAGGGTGAGGGCAGAAGGATGTACTGATGTCCTTCATTAGCAGATGGCAGAAGTTAGCACTGAGCAGAGTCCTCTTCACACTGACCATTACTTAAAGCTCCAACAGGGAAGAGATAGAAAAATCAGGCCAGAAATGAGACTACAATTAAGTCCCTTGGGTAATCCAGAGATGAGACTGAGGAGAAAAAGTTTGAGAGCAGTAGCAACATAATTTCCAAAGCCTACAGAACCATCCTTTCTTCTGCCCTCATTG